AGAGGAATAAGGTCTATTGAAATGCATCTTTTGTTAGTTTAACATGTATATGGTGAAATTTGCCAGATATGTTTGTAGTGAGGCAACAGACACATGTACACATTCAAATGAGGCAACAAACACATTTAATTACTCAGCTTTATAATGCATGTATGTGATTCGTATCATATCACTCAGCTTGTCATATTTTTGTCAAAAGATTATCATTAATTTTAGCATTTAACAGACATTTTTATTTAAAGTGACTCACACACTGAACACACACACGTGGAGCAGTTGAGGGTTTGGTGCCTTGCTCAAGGGAATCACTTCAGCTGTGGTATTGAGGGTGGAGGAGAGTGTTTTTTTCACTCCCCCACCTACAATCAGTGCCAGAATGGGAATAAAAAAAACCTTTAGATAACAACTCTAACCATTAAGCAACAGCTGCCCATGGCCTCATTTAACAAAGAATCAACTCAATTTGTCCAAATATATTATATACCACACTGGTTCCCAAAGTGGGGGTTGCCTGGTGACTTCCAAAAATCTAATTCATTTTATTAAACTATTAGAATTACCGTATTTGATCCATAACCTACAGAAGAAACAAATAGTAGTTAATAGTTACATAAACATCATGCAAATAAAAAGCTACCAACCTTTCCTTTTTTTTGCGACCCCTGGGGTGATTATGTTATAATAAATACACAGCACACTGATTTTATGGCACAAGGTTGAACTTTAACACCTTTATGACACTCACATACATTAAAAATGAATACAGGCCACATCTGTACATGGAGGATGATCTCCGAGTGGTTTTCTTCAAAATTAAACGATGAATGGACTTGGGCCTATTGGTATGTGTGCCCTATTGTGTGCAAGGTTTTTATATTTATAACCACCTCAGAAGATAATGGGGGTCACAGGCTGAAGGTTTGGGAACCCCTAATATACCATACCATATCATGTTAGGGTCATTTCCTAGGGTTGTAAAGTAGTTTGGACAATTTTTGCACCTACCTAGACATTAGAGAACATTTTTATATATTGTATCAATGCATTCTATAGTTCTTTTAAAAGTGAATTTATGATGACTGTAAACAACACTTTTTATTTTATGCAAAAAAAAAAAAAAAAAATTGCAATGCTTCTTTTCTGTTATAATTATTTATTTTAAAAAATTAAAATAAAAAACAAGAGTGCTGCACTGGTCTCTTTACATAGTCATCGTTGCACTATTTTAATAATTCGAGGAAAATCTTATACAAAAAAAAAAAAATAATTAAATACTCCAAGGCACTTGGATAAAGATTAAAAAGTTTTTCATTAAACTGGGCTGTCACTAAAACAAAAAGATCTATTCATTTTGGAACATGAATTACCATTGTTATAAAAATAAACATACCTTGATACATTATTTCTGATGCCAAGACCACAATTCATAGTGGTAATAATTCTGGCTCTTCTCTTTTGCAGGTTTCAGAACTGTCTGCTCTCTAGTCACATGTTCAACTGAGGGAAGTCAAGCAGGATCCCGCTGTCATCTGCTCACTGGTGCTTTAAAGAGAACAACCAGAGGAATATGCACACAAACACAGTCCCTGTCATAACTAGGGCTTTGTTTTCCATCACTGCACATTCAAGTTACTGTATAGAACACATGGAATAAAAGCCAAATGTCATATTTTTGTATTGTCATAAAGAAATAAAAAGATGGTACACAAATATCGGTGTCATTGTAAAGTGTCAGAGAGTGACTACCTGAAATTCCATACTGAGGCGCACCCTGTTTTCATGCACGATGAAGCAAGTCAGCGTTTCGTGAACCTGTTCACCCTATGCCCATCACATCAAGTCCCGATCAGATAGGAAGAAAATGTTTGTGGTAAAAATATGATTATCATGCATGTTTGCACACTAAACAAGTCACCTTATCTTCAATGTTGGCATTTTTACTAAACTGAACACATTCAGGGTCATTTCTGTCGCTGACACAGTAAATATCTTTCACATTACATTGTGGTTACACATAAAAATCATTTATTTGTTAATCAATATTAAAGGGATTCACCCAAATTAAAATTCTGCCATTACACAAACACTTCATTTTACTGCTGGTTCAATCTACTTTTTCCTACTTTGTTTCAGTTTTTTGGGAGGGTTTGCTTTGTTCAATCCACAAATGACTGTTAAAAAAAAAAAAAAAAAAAGACTACCATGGATGTCAATGGTCCCAACATTCTTCAAAAAAAAAATCTTCTTTTGTGTTCAACAAAACTCAAACTGTTTTGGAATGAGACGGGTGAGAAAATGATGGCAGGATTTACAATTTTGGAAGTATCGGGATGCATCTAGGCCTGCAGTTACTCTAGTATCGAATCTGATAACTTGTGCTGTAATTTTGTTTGTTACACAATGCAGATCTTCCAATACTGTAAGGTCACAACACTAATTATAACATTGATATTTCTGAAAAATTATGAACAAAATACTTTTATAAGCAATAAATTAGCAATGGTGGGGCACAGTCTGAACTGTTTTGTTTACACAGTTAAATGCACAGCATTCTGTGTGTACTCTATTTAATATTGTGCATAAACAGATGCCTGACATGCGCAGTAGAATTCACTATAATCTAGAGTCTGCAGTTTTTATGAGTGATTAAATGTCTTTGTTTTTGTTTAAAGCAGAGTTGCAGATATATTTTAATCTCCTTACACAAGCACTTATCAAGGTGGGCTTCTACTGTTTTTGCATCTTCAGTAGATTGTTGTTGTTCTTGTTCTGTCTCCTTTATTGATGCACTTATTTAACAACCAAAAATAAATAAATAAATAAAAGTTCTGAAATTGGACACCTTCATACACTCAACTAATGCAGGTTTAATGATGTAACGGAAGGGACGGGGCTATTGATGATGAATAATATGAACGATGATGAATGGATACCCTTATTTTAAGGTTAAGAAATGTATAATTTGAGGACTTGGAGAAAAGAAATCAAGTACTATCATTTTGAAATTGTGTTTATTACAACATATTGTATCATAAGCACCAGCTGTCTCAGGCAATTGATTTACAGTCTGAAAAGAAACGGAGATAGAACAATAAACTATTCAAGACGGCAAAAACAACAGACACTCATGTTGACAAGTGCTTAGAGAGGGAATTAAAAGATTTCTGCAAAAAGATATTTTTATTGCTAGAAAGAATGAACATTTCTAGTAGCTGTCACAGCCTTTTAAAGGAATAGACCACCCAAAAAAATGAAAATGTACACACTATTTACTCTCAAATGGTTGCAAACCTCGATGAGTTTCTTCATTCTGCTAAACTGTAAAGAACATATTTTGAAGAAAGCTGAAATCCTGTAATCACTGACATCAATAGCTTTCGTCAAAACACATACTTTCAATTCGATTCCACATCTATTCAACGAAGGTCGAACAGGTTTATTTAGCCAATTCATTTGTTTTATGTTCAATCCACTTGAATGACATTCAAACATGAATGAATTGCGTTGGTGTAACGACAAGGTTAATGGACGTGTAAAAAATTGAAAAGCATATAATATCTATATAAATAAATCTTTGCCTGTTTAAATTAAAAAGAAAAAGACTTCTAAGAGCAGGGGTGCCCAAACTCGGTCCTGGAGGGCTGGGGTCCAGCAAAGTTTAGTTTCAACCCCAATCAGACACACCTGGCCTAGCTACTCAAGCTCTTACTAGGCTTTTAAGAAACATACCTGCAGGTATGTTGGATCTCCAGGACACTGACCATCCAGGACCGAGTTTGGGCACCCCTGTCTTAAGAGTTTAATCTGCACTTAAAAGATTTAGAACAGGGATGTCAAACTCAATTCCTGGAGGGCCGCAGCCCTGCACAGTTTAGTTTCAACCCTGCTCCCACACACTTACCTGTAGGTTTCAAACAAGCCTGAAGGACTCCATTAGTATGATCAGGTTTGTTTAATTAGGGTTGGAAGTAAACTGTGCAGGGCTGCGGCCCTCCAGGAATAGAGCTTGGCATGCCTGATTTAGAAGGTTTTGAGGTTATCAATTTGAAGAAGAGCAGCCCTCATTGGGTGTTGGCAGCTTCATTAATAACAATATTTCTAGTGACCACTCAGTGGGCCACAACTGTGCTAATGCCAGTTCTGATATCTCAGTCAACTGGAGGCATTATTAAAACAGTTGCAGGTTGAACTGCAATAAGCAACAGAAAGTTCTGGTAATTCAAATGAACATGATTTGACAATTGGTTCCAAATGAATTTTGCTTGTGGGTTCAATTTATGTAAAAGATCAGTTGAAATAATTAAGTGGAAAAGTTTTCCGTAAATTAAGTTAGTTCAACACCTTGTTTAAGTGTAACACACAATGCTGCATCTTTGCATTGTGTTGTTAACACCCCTATTGACACCAGTCATTTTCAAATAAAAGCATAGTGATTGTGAGGCTGTAAATTCAGAATGACCTAGTTTTGATTGATAAACACATGCTAGAGAGACTGAATAATGAAAAAGCCGTGGGGAAATAGTCCTACAGGGAGAGCCAGACCCATGGAGAAGCACTGATGAAGTCTAGAAAGTACAGTACACAGACACTAAACTCTTCAGGAGGCCGTGCACTGGGATTACCCCCCCCCCACCCCACACACACACACACACACACACACACACACAAACACAAACACAAACACACACACTTGAGCATTCATGTGGTGAGAAGGACTCCGGCATGCTCTCCTGTCAAAAGAGTGTGTGGGAGGACAGAGAGCGAAGATAAACGGCGTGTTAGCGAGACGGAGCTTCACAGTCAAACAACAAAGACGCCGATTCCAAACATTCACGAAATACAACCCGCACATCTGACAGCAGTCGCATCCCTGGAAATTTACTTTCTCCCATTCGCGTTTGATGTCATCCAAACACACAGATACAAATACATGTGTTGCTTTTATTTGGCTCAATACATCAAGTGCGGAGAGAGGCCCGTTCTTGGGTTTTAAGGGGAGAACACCCACTGCTTTTCAAGTTAAAAACGGCAGCTGCGCTTCTCTTCTATAAATGCCGTATCGTCCCACCCAACGCTTCGCTGCGTAACCGAGCCACGCCAGGATTCCTTCTCCTAATAAACAGTTTTGTTGGAGCACTAGAAGCTGGGAGTTTTTACGCGAGACTCTCAGGTTTGGAGGAGGGTGTCCTGAAGTGTCCTCAGCCTGGAATGAACCCTGTCGTCCCGTGAGGAAGCGCTGTTTAGTCTGCAGCGAATGGAGGCAAGGATCCACAGTGCCCTGCGCCTCACAGCAGTCTCAGTCAGCACCTGCCAGCATCACAAAACACACACACGCGGTTAAACGGTCATCATAGAAGTCCAGTAAACTAATACAGTTATTAAGATGAGCTAGTGAAGTGAGTGATGTATATTATTCTGTCATTATTTACTCCCATTCTTTGCCTGGACACAGGGAACATTTTGGTTAGTTTTTAATGCTGTTTTTTTTTTTCAGTTGTGTGATCACAAGAGGTCAGCCAAAACATACCATCAGTTCCACATCAGTTTAGCTTTTTTAAGTTACGTTTCACAGAGATCCTTCTAGGCCTGTCACAATAATCAATATATCAACTTATCGTGCAATATTTGGAGATGACCTTAATCATTTTTGCCATTGCAATGTACACTCACCGGCCACTTTATTAGGTACAACTGCTTGTTAGCGCAACTTTCTTATCAGCCATTCACATGGCAGCAACTCAATGCGTTTAGGTAGTAGACATGGTCAAGACCATCTGCTGCAGTCCAAATCGAGCATCAGAATGGAGATGAAAAGTGATTTAAGTGACTTTGAACGTGGTAAGGTTGTTGGTGATGGTCTGAGTATTTTAGAAACTGTGTACCCATCTTCTGATAGCTACTTCCAGTAGGACAACGCACCATGTCAAAGCGTGAATCATCTCAGACTGGTTTAAACACGATGACAATGAGTTCATTGTATTCAAATGGCCTCCACAATTACCAGACCTCAATCCAATAGAGCACCTTTGGAATGTAGTGGAATGAAAGATTTGCATCATGGATGTGCTGCTGACAAATCTGCAGAAACTGCTATCATGTCAATATGGACACAAATCTTAGAAGAATATTTCCAGTACCTTGTTGAATCTATAGTATGTCACGAAGGATTAAGGCAGTTTTGAAGACAAAATGAGGTCCAACCCGGTACTAATAAGGTGTACCTAATAAAGTGGCCAGTGTGTGTATATTTACAAATTCACAAATAATGTTTGAGCCATTTTACGATGACATTTCCATTCGCCCTCCCCGGTATCTAAGTTTATAACTGTACATTTACCTAATAGAACATTTAATAGTGTATATATAATAGGACTTTTACCTTTTTGACATCAAATTATAGAATTGAAATAAATTTAAGAATGCTAAGTAATGTAAAGTGTTCATGGCTATTTTCATTATTATGCCGTTATATAACCATTATGTAATAAGAGGCATAAAATGATCTCAAAATGACAATTATATCGCTTATCACAACAATAAACGTGACAATATATGGCACTACAAAAATTCTTTATCATGACAGGGCTAGAACCTTCCATATTATTTTAATAATCAATTATATGGCAGTGCAACAGTTGAACAAACTCGTGTCGAGTAAAAAAAAAGTCTAAATTATTTCAATTCAGAACGTTTATATCATGAGTAAAATTAATTTAACATCATCAACACTTTTTATGATGATAAACCAAAGTTTAAGTTTGTTTTATATCTACCAGACAATTCTAAAAGAGAATGGATTAGTTTTATTTATTTTTTGTTATTAAATAGGATAAGGGAATTAATTAATTGTGTAAAAATCTTTACAAACCACATTGGACTGACATTGTGGTAGTGTAATACAACCTAAAAAACTGCTGGGGGCTCTTTTTATAAAGAAAACAAAACAAAAAAGTGAAGTAAATAAGTCAATGAAAACCTTCCTCTGCAGTGAGCTGTTAACACAAGAATGACTGCAATCAGACCACTCGCTTGCTAAAGAATTGCATCAGTAAATGAATCATCCTTCTGAACCAGTTCAAACCGCTGACTTGAGTTTCAGCAAAAAAAACTAATCAAAAATGAATAATGATTTAAATCTCAGTCTGCTGCTCATTCAAATCTAGCAGAGGACTCTAGAAATCTTGGATTTTAAAATGATCCAAAGTGCTTTTATGGTTTCTGTTTTTCAGTTTCGATCTTTAACAGCCTGTGGTCACTATGAATTGTTGCATGTGCATGAATATTATATTAAATACCACATAAAATACCAATTCTGAATAAATCATAGAGTAACCAAAGCTGAGAGGACTATCAAAACTCTGCATTCAAGCTTTTGTTTGCAGACTTTTATTTATCATTGTGTGTGTGTGTGTGTGTGTGTGTGTATGTGTGTATGTGTGTGTGTGTGTGCGTGCATGAAGCTGAAACGCTTCTGATTTTAAATGTGTCGTAAACAGCCAGCAGCCCGTTTTATTCTGTTGTTCTCTGCATACCACGAGAACTAGCGTAGGGTCAATAAAGGCACTGATGACAACTTAATTGGGCTCCGCGCAGCCCTCGTCTCGTCTTGAATAGGCCACCGGGTTCGCATGAGCAAACCCCTGGCATTTGAAGACGTAAATGTAATTTCACAGTGTGCTAAAACTGACTCACTGAAGACCTCACCTTGTCACTTATTTCAGTGATAATGCTAACAGGTCCGTGGGAAAAGACGGCAAAGTTTGAAAACAGATGCAAGACAAGGTTTGCCGAAATGGAGGAGGAGGACAACAGCTCTTTCACAGCACTGAGGTGTCTGGGAGGAGGAGGATGATTGAGAAACAGCATCCTCAGATGAGTCCAGGCTTCTCTGGCCACTGCCTGAGATTAAGACAAAGAGGAGGAAGCCATCAGTAATTTTCCAGTCTGCTTCACTTTGCTGTTTTTAACTTGTGACGTAGGGTGGACTGGCTGCGCTGCCATAATTAGATCTCTTACGGTTTGCTGGGAGCGCTGGTGCCCTCTGTTGGTGGGGTGGTGGAAGAACGTCAGCAGCCACAGCAGCGCTTCCGTGTTTCCAGACGCTGCCAGAACAAGCAGCTCGACGGCTGTGTCCACCCAATACCCACAACGCACCAGCAGGAACCAAGCCTCAAACATAGGCTGATACGCCCTAGAAAATCACCATCCATCCAAACACAGTGAAAAACAGAACTGTTATTTGCTGTTACATATGTGGAGGCATGAGTAGATTGAGTGAGTTTCTGGTTAAGAGAAAGAGATTTTTTTTCATGACTGATAGATGCATGTTCTAGTTTATCATCCTGATGACACCTGCAGTTGACACTTTTGCAATAAATATAAAAATATGCACACTTTTATGCAAAAGACCATATGACAACAATGGCTATAACTAGAAAAATCTATAAAATGCACTGAAAATGAAAGTTATTATTATTGTGAAGAAACGATTATGGCTGAGAGCCAAATTGTTGTTGTTTTTGTTGTGTTTAATTATTATTACTTTTATTCAGCAAATATAGATTTTATATACACATACACATATACATATATATATGATGGTTTATTGTGGGTATGTTGTTTACATAAAGAAATCTGTGTTACAAGTTAAACAAAAATTCTAATAATGAATTATATTTTGAATTAAAACAGTATTTGTCTTGCGTTTACATTAATTTTACATTAAGCTTCAGTCTTTTCACGATTAATTTTTTTTTAAGTGCGATTAATTAGTTAATTTTTTTAATCGATTGACAGCACTAATATATATATATATATATATATATATATATATATATATATATATATATATATATATATATATATATATATATATATATATATATATATATATATATATATATATATATATATATATATATATATATATATATATATATATATATATATTAATTCGACTTCTGATTGGGAGGTTATGTCCGGTCCCGATTATGTGATTGGATCTGGATATCCCTAGTGATCTCTAAATGTGTAAAGAATTACCATAAATAGTTCTATACACATCAAAGTTTAAATTAATATACCTGATTTGTCCTGCTAAATTTATAACATACTTCATCCTTATGTGCATATATTATACATGCACATCTATTAGAATGGGGCTTTGAAAGGAGGGTAACATCTACAGTACAAAAGACCTCATGAATTATAATAGATCAATTTTCAAGCTTTTCAAGACATTTAAACACGATACTTGGTCTCGACGTGGACAGAGCTTTTTTCAGGACAAGGATTTGTGAAGAGGAGCTGTGTACTTGAAGTGAAAATCTATCACTGAAAATCTGTTCATCTGTGTCCAAATGCTCTCCTGTGTCAAACCTGAGCTGCCTAGAAACATACAGGATCAAATCTCTCTACTAAGAGCACTGCGGATGATAAGAGAGCGATGAAGTGTAGAGTGTCTTAAAGCTCATCTCACCTGACATCTTCCTCCTCATTCTCCGTCACGCTCTGAAGTAAACTTGTGATCCAGCTCAGATGATCCAGCCAGGCCTCCCTGGGAACCTCTGAAAGACGGTGAAATGAGAAGTGCAGAAATGAGACACTTTTGAAATTGATTTGGAGCTGGATATCTAACTTACTCACTGATAACAAACCTGCAGTTGAATTAAATGTACCAATCCTTCAGTAAGACTTAAATTATATTTGGCCAGTGATACGTATGGAAATGTTGCTGCCTGCTATATTGTCATTAGAGATTTTGGTCTTTATGAATATATCTAAATTATTATCCTTAAGGTGATGTGAATCTCTTCTAAAGCATACAAATACCATAATATGTTTGCAAATATTTAAGAAACATGCCAAGTGAGCATACTTGATTATCTAAAAAACAATGCTGAAGTCAGATATTCTGCGTTGAAAATGCATTTTACGTGCCGGAAAGCTGTGTTTTGTAATTTTAACCTGCCCAATGCTAGTTTAGCCAATTATATTTCAGCACACTGGGTTACCTTGGTGGAAAACAGCGCATTACATTTATTCATTCATGCAAATCTTTAAGAAAGGCTCTGAAATCATGCAAGCGACCGAAATGCAACCTCCGGTGGACAGTAGCAGGCTTCAAAATGAGACACAGAATTAATTATCAAATGATATAAATATTATGAACGTAAACATCAGGTGAGCAAGTTACGTTGTAACGGCATGGTTTTCGCTACATTAATTTTTCCATGGTGGGGCGCATGCCAAAATTAATCCCGCCATTTCACTTTACTTCAGGGCGCACTCTGTAGGTCTATTGGAGACATTTATAAATATTCCCAGCAAATCTTATAAATGTTAAAGACATACTTGTTACATAAATGCACGAAATCGCACTTCAGCAGGATTTATTTGAGAGCGCACAAGAAGATCTGCGCTTGAGCAGTTTGAGGGGGCATGCAAGAAGTTTTGTGCACGAGTAGAGGAAATCGGCGTGCAAGTAAAGTGATTTTCATGCTCGTAGGCTATTACATAAATGCATATAATAAACTAAAACTCGAACCAGTGACCTTCTTGCTGTGAGTTGACAGTGCAAACCACTGATCCTATTTAAATATATTTTAAAATGAAATGTATTCAAGTGATTTCAAAGCTGAATTATTAGTCACATGATTCTGCGGAAAACATTCTGATATGCTGGTCAAGTTACCAAGTTACCATTCTAAAACTTTGGACCAGTAGTTTATGACTTGTTTATATATAAATGTACTAAATCGCACTTCAGCAGGATTTATTTGACAGCGCACAAGAAGATCTGCGCTTGAGCAGTTTGAGGGGGCATGCAAGAAGTTTTGTGCACGAGCAGAGGAAATCGGCGCGCAAGCAAAGTGATTTCCATGCTCGTAGGCTATTACATAAATGCGATCTTGAATACTGCGCTCACAACATTTGTCATTGAAATATTGCCACAGGCAGTCGGTAGATCTGTGTAAAAAGGCCTGCCTCCACAGCTGGAAAAAATCCTAGAGGAAACACTGAACCGCGTGTCCTAACAACATGCTTCGTGACGAGATACGCAGTGATAAGCAATTTAGCTGTTTGCACCAGACGAAACGTGACAGAAATTTACATACAGCCATTCAGAAGCACAGAATCTGCAATCACTCACAAAATAAGGTTTATAGTGTATTTAATACATATTCAATACACTTTAACATTATTAAATGTAAACTACATGCTGAATCACTCATTTGTGTTTAGTTCTAAAGTACAATTTAAATGGTTTATTTTATTTTCAAGATCTGAGGTGATCTGCTGCTGCTGCTTTTAGTAGTATGGCATTAAATGTCATTTAAAATGGCATTCAAACTCACAATATTATCATTTAACACTGAACAAAGCACATGAGGTGTACCTGAGGTGATCCATGTCATAGTTTTCTGTTGTTCACTTGTGAGAAATAGAAGCTTTTCAAACAAATCCATTTGTGGTGTTGGTTAGGGCAAAAACTCCCTTTAATAGGGAAAATATTCCTTCTATCGGGTGCCGTTGCTTTTATTTAGAACATGGTATAAATCACTTGCTCCTGTCCTTAATCTGGTAACCTGTGCTTGTGTTTGTTTTGATCCAGGAGTGCAATACCTAGTTCAACCACTGGGTGTTAAACTTTTTGCCTACTTGTTCTGATGTATATAAAAAAAGTAATAAAAACAAAACTAAATAAAATGCATTTTTTGATTTATAATTTTTTTAAAAGTTTTTGTTATCTGCACTTTAATGTAAGGGGAACAAAACAATGAAAAATAGATTTCCTTTTCTTATAGTTATATACTGTACACACACACACACACACACACACACAATATTTATACAATTGTGTTTCTATTAAATATATTCATTCATTCATTTATTCATTCATTTTCCTTGAGCATTGAGCCTTAATTGAGCATTAATAAAGTTTTTAAACTAAACTAAACACGGGGAGAACATGCAAACACCACACAGAAATGCCAACTGGCCCAGTCGGGACTCGAACCAGTGACCTTCTAGCTGTGAGTTGACAGTGCAAACCACTGAGCCTATTTAAATATATTTTAAAATGAAATTTATTCAAGTGATTTCAAAGCTGAATTATTAGTCACATGATTCTGCGGAAAACATTCTGATATGCTGGTCAAGACACCTTTACTATTCAAAAAGAAGATTTTTGCTATTCTTTGGATCAAATAAATGCAGAAGAGATTTCTTTGAAAACATATAAAAAAAGTTACCATTCTAAAACTTTGGACCAGTAGTTTATGACTTGTTTATATATAAAAAAAAATATTTTGGTAATTTAGTATTATTTTTTTTTATTTATTATTATTTTTTTGTAATTTTTTGATATAGCAAAACTGTGAACACTGTTTCAGGCTAGCAGAAAAAAAAACTTAAATACACTTTTAAGTATTAATTTTAATGCATCTTAAAATGATGCTTTATGTAAATAATTATTTTCAGTTTTTTTTCTCTCAAAAGATTTGCAATTCTTATTCTTAGAATAGGAAAGTAAAATATTTCACAAGAAACAGTGAACATGTGTTTTTAGTGATCAGAGTTTCAAATGTTTAGATCACAATCCAGTATATCCAATTTATTAGTTGGCATCAAAAATAAACATTCTCATGAAAATCCCAAAACATTGAACCCTATTATCATTTTAAGAGAAAAAAAAACAAGTGAGTAAATGACAAAAATGTCATGTCATGTCATGTCAGATGGATGAACCGTCATGCAAGTCCTGTAAAGCACCATAGTCTACGTTTAGCTCAGAGAGGTAAATAACTAACTCCGGCATTCAAAGGTCTCCTTTCAGAGACCACAGCACCTTCATGTCAACCATTCCAGGTATAATGACAATTGAACCAGTGCAAACAAATAACAGCAAAGAACTAAAGAGCTCCTAGTGCAGCAGGCACCCGAGTTCTGCAGCTATTCTTTTGCTGTGCTGCTTATAGAATAGCTGGCATTGTGAGGGTTTCCTCTGGAGCTCAAGGGGCACTGAAGAGCCCGGGGTCCTTTGGGAGCTGAGCCAGAGATAGATATCAGAGGGAGGCTACAGGAGGAAGGAGCCTGTTTGTGTGGGACTGCTCTGATGGAGGGAGCGAGATAAAACCAGGATTTGGAAACTTCCGACGGTGGACGTTCAGGATCAAGGTCTCAAAAATAAAACTCTAAATACTCGCTGAGACAATGCTGAATATTTTAGTCAGCTGATGAGGTAATGGTTTTGAATAAGAGGGTGTGGTTGGTGTATGAGTAAAAGTAAGAGATTAGGTGTTTTTGTGGTCGGACATAATTAGACTACTCTGCAGCTGTGGTTTCCTCTTATGCTAGGATGCCCGCATAATATTAGTCGACATGTATTTAGAAAAGGCCATTTGTATACAGCAGGTTATCAACAGGGTAGGACAGAACCTGCGGATATTTTTTGCCATCTCTGGAGAATTTTGAGGGGGAAAAAATGCAGAATTATGTGGAATTATTTTGAGAGAATAGTGACAAAAAAGTTAAAATAAAAATAACAACTTTAACTTTTATTTAAAGTTTACAATCCAAATCTAATTAGATCCACTAGACTGGTAAACAAAGTCTCTTCTAATATATCAACTACTGTTAAAGTCTGTATAATATTACTTTACAAAATTGCATATTACCCAATAATGTTAATTAAATTATTATAAAAACTGAATAACTATATATATTTAAACCCATGTACAGTATACAGGTAAAAAAAGAAAAACTCGATGGGTTTAAAAAATTCTGCATGTGAAGATTACTATTCGTTTATGTGGGCCTAGTTGAGGCAAATTTTAAGACTTTACAATAATATTTCATATATAACAGTATTTATTGTAGGCATATTTTACATCTGAGCAACATTTGTTGTTGTTTTTGCAATTTCCATAGTTTTTTTTCTCTATAAAGATAAACTGAAAAAATACATGTGCAATAAATATATCATCTGTGCCAATTCAATTCACCACCCAAATATTTTTTTGAAAATAAGTTCATTTTAGATGACAGAAATAACCCTGGTATATAAACCTGATATATACTTAGGATAGTTCAATCAAAAATAAGTCAGCTTGAGATTCTTTCTTCTTTTAAAAATGTATAACTATAACACTATAACTATATGTATACATAACTATACCTATTAACTATTACCAGAGCTTGACAAATGCAGGCAGATTTCAACTGTGGCAGGTTAGACAGACACTTACACTAGCCACTTCAGCTGGTTGGAAACATTTTTAAAATTGTACTTATCTTAAAAGCAGGGTTCAACAATAAAGATGGCTTAATATTTGTGCAAATGTGATCTTAGAATCGAGAAGCAACAAGACTGACAAAAATAAATGTGTTTGCGCGAGCAAAGAAAAGCAGGTAAATACCGAATGAGAGGATACTCACTCACGCTCACAGATGATGTGATGCGCGCGACTGTAAAAAAAAAAAAAAAAAAGCGCAGACATCCTTTCATTATCTCACACGGTATGATTTTTACCTGCTGTCTTTTGCTTACAATTATTTTTGTTAATATAGTTTAATTAGCATTTTTTACAGTAACATTGCTTTAAAATGAGATTAACTCCCCTTTTATGTGTAGTTAACTGGTGATCTGAGACCTTTAGCCAGTACAGATTACAGTGCATATTTTAGACACATAACAATAATTATTTATTAAATGTCAATTTTTTTTTTTAATAAAAGTTTTGTTGAATTAAAAAGAGCATATACAGCTATATTTAGCTTATTTTGACATTTAAAAATTGGGGCTAAGAAATAATCTTTTTTTTGGTGTAAAAAATCGATAAACACTGAACTTCGAAACTATAGTCCTGTTTTTTCCAACAATGGAAATCAATGGTTACAATGGTTTCCAAAATTCTTTGAAACACATTACTTTTTGATAAAAAGAAACTCATAAAGGTTTATAGTAATTGTGAGTACAAATTAATGTTTGGCCGAACTATCCATTTAAATATAAAGTTGCAGAGATGATGCATTTTCCCCCTATAAATTCCTGTGCTATAAACTGCTGAGGCTTTAGAAGAGCTTTGCAACTGTTTTTCTTTTGTGAAGTGAATACTTATAATTCTCAGACAGTAGTACGTGATGCTTTACCTGATGGCGCTGTCAGTAAAGGAGAGAGTAAACTAGGCATCACATTTGGGAAGAAGGCTCTCAGTGGCAGACGATCCTACAAATCATATATGCAGACAAATATCACAAGTCAAGCTTAGAAATATCATTTTGTGTCGTTAGAGCCCCACTAGTGACACCAAACAGACCTGCCAATCATGTGAAACTCCACAGAGGCCGAGCATGATTATTTCTCTGCCTTGTTTTCTCTTGCTTGTGGCCTCAGTGGGATTCCATATTTTTGGAAACAATCATTATTATTTTTTTGTGATTCGGTTGTGCTAGTTGCTTGTGGCAAAGAAATTACACATTAGCCTTCTGGAAGTCAGCCTGTACCTGTGAATTCTGTCCAGTCAGTCTCTGGAGGAAGCAGACAGTGAAAACCTGTATGAGGGTTCTTATAGCCAGATTCTCATCAATCTCTGTCAGCACGTTCCTACACACACAAAATATAAAAATAAATAAATAAAAATGTATAAACCCAAGACTACTGCTAAATTTCCTCCTAACTAAAAATATTTTTTTTTAACACTTTAATTAGGGGTGTAAAGGGCGTATGGACGACAACCCGTGGGAACCAACAAATTCATAAATGTTTTTACTTGTAGAATAATCCTAAATTTGTCACAATCACAGAGAGGTCTCCTTTTGTGTCATTTAAATCCCATGCATGAAAGCATTTAGACTTTCCTTTAATATATAATGATGACGGAAGAAGTCGTGGTGGGTTATTTGGGATGTGGTTGGTTTCTTAGTTATTAAATGCATCAATGCATTCCATGTAAGCTACACAATTAATCATTAAAAGATCAGGATCTCAACACCCATGTAACAAATTATAAATGATCAAGATTTCTATTTGTTTATTAATCCTTCGAAACACTGCATTCAAATCTGAGTTAGTTATAAAGTTACAATCGGTCGAATAACACAGAAGTACTGGGATAACAGTATATAGTTTAGATTAAACCACTGATGTTTATGGTAAAGATTAAAATCACTGTCATATACTCAAAAATGAAGGTTGTAGGCAGCAATTACATTATTTAACCAATAGGAGGTGACAACCAGCCATCAAAAATATGCCACTGAATGATTCTTTAAAAATTACACATCAAACAATGAAACATGAAGTTTTATGAGTGAATAACTCAATCATTTATTAAAAATGAGACTAAAAATAAATATGGATTGTACAAATTATAATGTTAGACTTATACATTTAATGTTATCAGCAACAGTAGTAATGGCAGTGAATTTTTCAAAGTGCTGAATATTTTATTTTTATTCAGCTGATTATTTCTTCATTTCATTTTTAATAAAATTACAGTTTTGTTTGTTAAAACCAAACCTTTCTTCTAATACCCTTTTTGTAATAAAATTGAAAGAAAATTACATTTGTCATCTATTTTTAGCTGATCCGAAAAATCCTCTGATGACTAAAATACCATAACATGATCCAAACCATGAGAATTGTAATACTTTACATCACTACTTCCAAATAAACATTTTTTACACTATTTTACACTTTCAAATAAAAATAATGTATTTATTCTTTATTTTACTAATCGTGTTATGTCCTCACAATGTGTACCATAAACAAGTATACAGACATTATTGATCTATATTAGTTTTAGTCTAATGCCGAGTTCAGACTGCATGATTTTAGGCCTGATTTTGACTCACTGACAGGTTTTGAGAAATCGCAGACAATTGCCTGAAAAAACAGGCAAATCGTTGCTCGTTCACGCGAGTAACCATCAAACAGTGTGAACTGAGCTGTCGGCGATTCACATCATGCCGTGTGAAATGTGTTCTGATTGAATATAACATCGGTAATCACCTAAAGCCAATGAGAGAGCAACATCTTCTAGTTTGGGTATTTGCAGGCCAGCGGAAGACTGGGGTAGAAATTAAAAGGGCTTCTTTTTGGTCTATTTGGACACAAAAAAATGGAGGAAAAACTAGAGGAAATTTGGCACCCATGTCTGTTTGGCGTATCATCTGAGCAAGACCACAACATTCTGAAGTTTAAGAGAAATTGCAAATTCCCTTCAAAACCCAGGTGAGCAAAATAAGTATCTTTTCTACCCCTTTAAAGGCTTCTTTCTTATTATGTAGTCATTCATTCATTTTCTTGTCAGCTTAGTCCCTTTATTAATCCGGGGTTGCCACAGCGGAAGGAACCGCCAACTTATCCAGCAAGTTTTTAAGCAGCAGATGCCCTTCCAACCGCAACCCATCTCTGGGAATCTTATTATGTAGTTAATAACAAAATATCTGCAACGTTACCTAGCCTCGTTTCCATGTCACTTCTCGTGTGTTTGGTTTCGAGCCGTATTTTGCAGACCGAGACAAAGTTGTTGGAGATTCTTCCTAATGTAAAGTGCCGATCCATCTTGCAGTATAAACACAGTAGTCACTGAACGCTACCCTAAATAGTCATGCAGTGTGGAAACATCTATGCCGTGACTACTTTGAAAGTCATTTGCAATGGGGTAGATATAACAGCCTGATTTACTTAAACATGTAAACTTCTTATAATATGAATCCTAAATAAGTCATATATAGTCAATGATGGCATCATGGTGGCGCAGTGGGTAGCACAATCGCCTCACAGCAAGAAGGTTGCTGGTTTGAGCCCTGGCTGTGTCAGTTGGCATTTCTGTGTGAAGATTGCATGTACTCACCATGTTGTTCACGTGGGTTTCCCCCACAGTCCAAAGACATGCGCTATAGGTGAATTGGGTAAGCTAAATAGGCTGTAGTGCATGTGTGTGAATGTGTGTGTATGGATGTTTCCCAGTACAGTTGTGGCTGGAAGGGCATTTGCTGCGTAATAACATATTCTGGGTAAGTTGGCGGTTCATTCCACTGTGGCGACCCCTGATTATTAAAATGACTTAGCTGAAAACTAAATGAACGAATTAATGAATAATCAATGATCTAAAAATCAACTTACCATTTTACTTTGCTTCTTGGCAGAGTGGTTTTAAACAATCAGAGGCATTTTTATGGCATGTATGAGCACAGATTTTGTACAGTTCAGAAAGAACATAATAAATAAATGAATTATCCAATATTCACCTGTAAATCTCGCTGACTGTGAGGAAGATGTGACAGTGACGGGCTGAAGCTTGAGGCTGATTGGGGGGAATAACAACACTTCAGTACTTTAAACACAATGTGTACTTGTCATAAACATTCTCACCCACTAGAGGGCAGTGCTGTAATAATAATACAATAATAATGCTAGCAAAGTCCTACAAATCCAAAGTTTAACGGCCAAGTTTCATACCAACAAAATGCACATTGCTTGACAATACAGCAATATCATCTGTTTTAAATTCATGTAAAAGATTATAAAGATCCTAAAAAAAAAAGTTGGATCCAAGCAGCTGTACACACATGTCTGGTTCAGCGCGTAAAGTTACATGCTCATATTTTAATGGAACAGGTTTCATTAATATACCCATAGTTCATATGGGCAAAGAATGTCATAAAAACATTTTACCCAGACCCAAAACATCAGTGCTCCAGAAAGCCCACATGTGCCCCTGCAGGCTTTGATCCTCACAGCATTTGTCTGTGTGTGCATGTGTGCGTGCGTGTCTGTGTTAAGGCCACAGGGAGAAGCCTCATGATTCTCTCCTTCATTTGGGACTATTAAAACGCCTGCCACACCCAGCCCACAGGCACCCTCATCATACACACACACACACACACACGCACACACGCACACACAAACACACACACACACACACACACAGACACAGACACACACACACACACACACACACACACACACACACACACACACACACACACCACCCCCTCCACCAAAGACCCTCAAACCCCAAAAGCATCTCAGATATTCCCGTAACCCCAGCTATTCAACGCTTGCCAAAAGCCGCCAATTTGCTGCTCTAATAAAAAGAGACGCACTTGAGCAACAAACATTAGATGGTATAATCCTGTCTCAGAAACAGAAGACAGTGATGGAAACAAGAGAGAAACAGAGATCACAGGAAGAATAGTTTACCAACTCATTGCCAAATTCATAAAACTAATGAACGAAACAATATGCCTGGAATCACTAGCATTTTTTCACACAGATTCAGAGGCACCTCGAGCCAAAATTCCAGTATTAGATTGATCTGACTTGAGATTGAACAGCCAAACGTTACCTTTCAAAACATTCAATTTAATAAAAAAAATAAAAAAATAAATTTTAAAAATTAAGTCTTAAAGCAACATTGTGGTGTTTTGGTACTGAATTGAATCTGCTTTTGAACAAATAATTGAGTCAATGTATTAATGATTTATTCATAGTCAATAGGTGCTGCTTCAAGTTCATGAAGTTAATTTTGACCAATTAAAATCTGACTACAAGTTGTAAATGGTGTTTAGAAATTCTGGGTAACTTGAGAAGGTGTCGATGTAACATCACTTCCAGAGCATGTACAGGAGGGTTGATGATAGCTTTTAAGCGTTGATGATAGGCCCACCTGAGCTCTCACGTTTGGTCAAATTTAATGCATGAGAATAACTATGATTCCATCCAAAGATGCAAATAAGATTTATATGCGAAACAATTGTGAATAAAGCACTGTTTCAAGGATATTATTACTGGTTACAAAAAAAATAATAATAATTATACATGCAACAGTACATTGGACGGATGAAGGTTCTCTAAAGGTGGCTCAGTGGATTTAGAGACTTAAACAGGTCTATGTAATGGAAAAAATGACTGCAAGTCTACAAATGAAGACTGATATTTTTTTCTGAAGAAGCGAAAAAAAGTATTACAACATATTTAGATTTAGAGGTTTAGAGTTTAATTAACCCAAAACTAGGCCCATCCAAAATCCCATCCGAGTTTTAGCCCATCATTGGGTCTATTTATTTACTTCTGAAACGTGTGTACATTTATATTTATTCAGTTTTTAATTTGATTTCAGTAATATTATTGATTATTATGAAAGTGTTCATTTGATTTATGTACATTACAGTTTGTAAAGTAATATTTTCTGTCTTTTAGTAGATATATTAAATAAGAGACTTGCTTTGTTTAGCAAATAAGTGGAACTAACTGGATTCGCATTGTAAACATTACATAAAAGCTACAAAACTCCCAAAATCATTCTGAATAAATCTGCACATTTTTTTTTTACAAAACTCTGCGAAGAAATAGCAAAAAATGTCAGCAGATTCTGTCTGGTCCTACCCATCTCCAATGTAATCTGAGGTAACTACAATGTAACACAATGTAACTTGATGTACAAATGTATCCCCTGAAAAGTATTTATGAAGGCAGTACTTTTTAATTTATTTTGCATTATATTTTTTATTATTTTATTTTTACGTTTTTATAATATATATATTTTTTTATTATCCCCTCATCTGTATGGGGTTAAATTGTTGGGGAAGGGGTTGTTCTGGAAAAAAAGAAATATAAAACAAAATCTTTAAAAATAAAAAAGCAGCTTTTCCATCCAATGAGTTGAAGAGAGCAAAATTGTCACTTCCAAATATCTGCCAATATTTGGCAAATCCCAAATATCAATTCAATTGAAGCTTATTTGTATAGCACTTTTTAAAATAATTATTATTTCAAAGCAGCTTTACAAAAGGTTAACAATCAAGTTTATAAGTTACATAAAAAATGCGTTACTATATATAAACATAGTTAACCTTCAGTTTTATAGCAATAGGTGATGTCTATGTGTGCATGTTTAATGAAGTGTATCAAAAAGAAAAATTGAATTTGTTGCGATCTGTACAGTGTTTTTTTCTTCTATAGTTACTTCCACCGCAGAATACGAAGACTTGATGCAAAGAATGTGCAGTGGCTTTCCCGAGGTTGTGAGACTGCTCTTTGGGAGCGCAGATGCTCAAGACCTTTCTGAGAAGTAATTATACCAAACCATTTTGATGAAGCTCTTTGGCTAATCTTTATCCTTTCAGAATGACTAAAAAAACATTTCAGAAGTTGTGCAATGTGATTGTGCGCTTGTTTGTCTAATAATGCCATCCTATCATGTCTATTTCTGTTACAGTATCACATAATCTGTTAAAACAAAATCCACGATTTTTTAGATGCACATGCTGGAATTCATGTCTAAAATGTGTTTCTATAGTTTCTTATCAGATAAAAAGTTTAACTTACTCAGCTGTGCACATGTGTTTTTTAAGTGCATTTTAAAAATTAATGCGCATGTTAGTCTTTCCATTATGCAATAATACAAAATGTGTATAAAAAAATAGGTGGATGGAAACATAGATAATAAACACTTGTGTTTTAAACCCTCAATCCTCTACATGGGTCTAAAGTGACCCGTTTAAGTTTATTTTTTCTATCTCTAAATTACAGCTTGTGCATTAAAGAGATAAAACAGAACAGGCTAGGCTTAGGAACAACATGAGAATGAGAAAACTAATAGAAATAGAAAACAAATAGCTCAAAAACATAAGTCTAAAAAATCTAGAATAAGAGATCACATGACAAAGGTGTAGGAAACAACTGTCTGCTTTTATATTTTATGAAGGCTGAAGCTTTCTCTCCCTAGTGAAAACAGATGGGCTTTCCAAACACTCATCCATACCTTCTCCTAACACTTCAGGGAGGGTCAATTACAGCATGGCAAAAACATCCCCTTTCTGGCAGTGGGACGCAGGAGGATGCTGTTTATTGTTATTGGATCTAAGCTTTGAGGAAGGTGGATGAAAACAGAAATGTGAAACTAATTTCTTGTTTCCCCTTTTTGATTGCAGTTTAAACAACTCGTTCCTGCAACGTAAACACACTGCACAGCTTAATCTGTTCACAAACACAAACAAATAAGAGCTGAACGCAGCTGCATTTGGGCCTCATTTTACCTGTCTGTACTTCTCCGTTTAAGACGCTAAACAGATCAAAACCAAACCTCAAAAATCAGCAACATAAGGACTGTTTGACGTCCTCAGACAGACATGTAAATAAGGCCTTGATTTCAGTCATTTACATTTCTTTAAGCAGGAATGAAAAGACCTCGGATGTGTATGGACTGCCAGGCCTGGTTCGCGTCACGCCGTTTGCGTGTGTTTTGAAAAAGAGGCCGGCGTATCATGCAGTGCCGTTAATCTCAACACACTGTGTACCATACGAACAACAGACCATCAAATTCCTTCTTTACTGCCATAGTTTTACTATCAACACGGCAGCAGGAAATTAATTAGCAACCGAAGCAAATATTATGACACACGGCACTAGTCGCCATCAAACATAGCAGAGTGAACTTGTTGCTAATAAACACGGTGATTGTGTGTTGATGCAAGGTGCTGATATATCTACAGGTTTTAAAGAGTAATGACTATTAATATTTTGACAATGTGCAATTATACAGCATACCACAGATCAAAAAGACTGATAGCGCCGGTGAAAAAGCTTTGGTTTTATATTATAAGAATAACAATTTAAAAAATGAAAAGTAGGAAAAATAAATAAATCACATGTTGTTTTAAAGTTTTTTGCTCATTAGAAAGATAAAATATGTCTTTTTAAAAACATATTTTCACTTTCTAATAAACAAAAAAACTGAAGACTCTCAAACAGTCAGAAATCAAGCTTACCAGTAATGAGTCATTAACATGCTTGTCCAGACTCTGGGTCATTAATTGATGGTCAGAAAGCACAGACTCCAGTAAGCTCACTGCTGCCCCCTCCAGACTTAACGCGCTCTGACACCACAGAGAAATTACAGCCTCGTCCTCCAACACCAGCCTCTTACTGAATGACAGCAAACACAGTCCACTGAGCATTTTTGTGCACCATTCACTCTGCTCTGGTGCATCATAATGACACTTACCTGATGAAGGCTTCACCGACTTCCTTGATGAACTCTTGATTGAGACATGAAGAGCCACATGATTCTGAATGCTTCAACAGAGCTCCAATGAGAGGAGCCATCTGAGTGCATGTGACCAACGCAATGCATGCTGTGGACATGGTGTGAATGTTGCTATTGGAACATCTTCAAGAACAAAATGAAAAATAAAATGAATGTGAGAGTGGATAATTTGCCAGTTTCAGTTAATTTAAAATGTTGTGGAGTAATAACTGGATAATTATTTTAGAAATGTAATTGCATATTTGTATACAAAAGCGATGTTAAAGTTTTATTACCTTGCTGATGCATTCGGCAAGCAGTCACAGCTTTTAGAAACCTCCTCTACCATCAATGACACAACCTGATAAAACAAATGTGCAGGGTGACATATTTAATTCAATTTCAATTCAATACAATTCATTCATTGTCATGTGCACAGTAAGGAAACACGTTTCGCTGTACAATGAAATTCTTACTTTGCCGTCCCCAGTGAAGTCATACACAACATACACATCATACACATATATACACAGAAGTGAAAGAAGTATAATTATGAAATGTAAATATATAAATATCTATGAATGTAAACAATATATAATACTGATTGTGAAGTAATGGAAACAGATGTAAACAACGTATAGTGGTTCTTAAAATTGTGCTTTTTATACAAAAAGTGCCTATATATCTGTTATACTGTACACAGTTTACTTATGACTTAAAAATTGCATTGTCAATGACATTAATAAAGTTTTGATTTAAACAAATATTCTGCTGGGGCGGCACGGTGGCTCAGTGGTTAGTACGATCCCCTTACAGCAAGAAATTCGCTGGTTCGAGTCACAACTTGGTCAGTTGGGTTTTCTGTGTGGAGTTTGCATGTTCTCCCCGTGTTCGCTTGGGTTTCCCCCACAGTCCAAAGACATGCACTATAGGTAGGGCTGTGCAATAAATCGGAAATCTGGTTTCGATTTTGGCTTCTAACGATTATGAAAAAACCATTAATCGAGATAAACGATTATTCCATCATATACTGCCCTCTCACCAGTTGTACACATTTGTTACTCATCAAAGCTCAGTTCTACATGAAAATGACAAAAAGCATGTACTGTAATGCAACATTTGCAGCACAGGATGCGCATTATTCATTGATGAACATTCAAATCACTCATATTTTTAAAAGCGCAAAAGAGCGCATGTTGGTGTGTGTGTGTAAGCGCGCCGCGTTTCGCCTCGAACAGGCTCGGAGATGAGCAGAGCACACACATCTGTGCAGTGTTTAGTGATTATTTATATTAACCTTCATTTGTGTAATAAACAAACGAGTTGAGAATCAAAAGACACGTGAAAGAGAAACCATATAAGAGCCGCACTATTCTTAAAGTGACAGCGCGCAATACTCCTTCTGCCGACTGTCTTTATTATTAATCAAACAATAAATGGAGAAAATCCATCACTGCTCTTGACTGAAGGACTTTTGTAGCTAGTGTTTGTGAAGTGAAGAAGCTTGAAGCAGTTTAAACATAACAGATTTAATAACTCATCTCTAATAAATGGTTTCTTTTATCTTTGCTATGACAGTACATACTTTACTAGATATTTTTCAAGATAATAGTTTTCAGCTTAAAATGACATTCAAAGGCTTAATTAGTGTAACTAGGCAAGTCATTGTATAACAAGAGTTGCTTCTGCAGACAATCAACCATATGTATTGCTTAAGGGGTCTGATAATATTGAGCTATCAAAATAGGTTTTAAAATATTTAAACCTGCTTTTATTCTAGCCAAAATAAACAAATAAGCCTTTCTCCAGAAGAAAAAATATTATAGGAAATACTGTGAAAAATTCATCTGTTAAACATCATTTGGGAAATATTTATATATAAAATAAATTCAAAAAAGGGTAAATAATTTTGACCCAAACGTGCCCAAAATGATGATCTCGATCTACTGGTCAAAGGCAAAGGTAGCGTGGATGGATCGCATGGTATTAAAAAAAAAAAAAAAGACGTCAGCCTATCATCCATCCTCACTGAAATTTGTCGCTTGATTGACATACAGAGCAACCAGTCTGATATCTGACCTTTTCTGACGCACGGTTAACCACGCATGCGCGTAAAACCGCGCCAACTTCACTAAGTGCTGCAAAACTATAGCAGCACTTAGGGAAGTTGACATGGTTAAGTCCAAAAATCGTTCCATCATGACTGATGATTATTTGGTAGCATGCTTGAGGCTGGCTATCAGCAGCTACTGACCGGACTATGCTTCCCTGGTTGATTCTATTTAGTGCAAGTCATCAGAATTGTAGGCTACAGTGGTAAATACAGATATGCAAAGTACATTAATATATATTGTACAATTACAGAATTCTCAATACGTTTATAAAAATATATATGTTATGCATTTTTATATTAGGTAGATCATTTTGACTTGGTCATTTTATAAGGAGCTCACATGCTGAAAAAGTGTGGGCACCCCTGGTGTAGATTTTTAATCCAAGTATATACAAGAACCAGGGAGTGAAACTCAATACCTTTTAAGACCTTTTTAAATACTCTTTCCATATATTTTAAGACCTTATAACCACTTTTCAACCAGAAACACTGGTGAGACTTTAACTTACAGTATATTTACTAAATATTAATGTAAGAAATTAATCCAAATCTTAAAAACATTACTCATATACCGCATACAAATCTATTAAATCTTGCTAATTCAGCAGGTTGGCGCCTACAGAATTGCAGAAATAATGGCGTTGCCTTGGTTACTGCACTAAACAAAGCAGCAAGATGGATAGCAAGATAGTAGGATTTCATAAACTTCACAGCATCCTGATATTCACAGATTTAATTCAGGCAAAATTTAGCATACACATTGCATATTAAAAATTATAGAAAATGTAACGCCTTTCAAGATAGCATTTAAGTCGGCGCCCATATCCTTGTGGTTAGTGCGTCAACACATGGCACTGAGGTGTTCGCGGCGACCCAAGTTCGATTCCCGGCTCGGGGTCCTTTGCCGACCCTTACCCAATCTCTGCTCCCCATGCTCTTCTGTCTCTAAATCTCTACTGTCCTACCACAATAACGGTGAAAACCCCAAAAAAATAAAAGTAAAAATAGCATTTAAGACTTTTTAGAGGCCTTAAATTTCTCTACATTGATGTATTTTTATTGTTTTTACAATGACACCCTGATAATCGATATTCGATTTTAATCAATAATCAATCTTTTACAATCAAGCTGATATTCAGTAAATTGACATTCTTATTTGTGTGATATTTCTTAACCATACCATATATTTTAAGTATCTAAAAAAAACATAGAAATGTGTATTTATTTCACATATAATACAAGTATTGCTTTCATAACTGGAATACGGTTATTCAAACCGCATTCAAATAGGCTTAATGCAGTGAATGCTTTTGGACTCTAAAAACATGTTTTTGTTTGTTTTTTGGCTAAGCGAGTTGACATGCTTGATAATGTCAGCTCACACATCGTTAAAACGACAATTAAGATATTATCATAGACGTTAAATGCTGCACACCCCTCCCTATTCTTAAACTTAACATTTGAAATCTACTTGGCTGTAGTAACCGTTTAGTAGAAACAGCAGTTTCAGTGTTTTGGGGAAAAGATAGGTGCTCAAAAATCACCAACAGACCCGAAAAAAAGATACCAAAGACCAATATTAATTATTATTTAATATTAACTATTAATTGCCAAACCTTCTGAAGAGCCTCTGTGTGGTATCGCATCGGGGTTGATCCAGCATGTTTTACTGTAGCGTGAGCCACACTACCCTCCTCCTCAGAGATCAGATGACACAACATATTCTGTCCAGAACAGATACATAACAGAAAACAATGCTGATGACAGCTTTTAAACACAACACCCTCCATTTACAGCGGACATTTAATCACACACCATCAAACAACTGCATATTATTTTGCTTTGATTCGTCTGTGCATAACTGGACAGCTTTTGCTCATCATAAACACATCACCATGTTGCACACAAATAATAAAAATAAAAAAAAAGACAATGGATCGGGTGGCTAGGCCTGTCTGTTTATGAAAGCGCAAAGTTTAAGCCTTGACAGAAAACATGTCTGCTTGCGGTGGGGCCATGTGGTTTCTTTAGGTTTACAGTATGCTAAGATGTCCTCCACAGACCCAAAGAGGCTCAATTACTACCATCTGAACAGCAAAACACACTCCAGATCACACGGAACTTTAAGCTGGGTTGTGACAACAATGCAAGACCAATGAAACACAGCCTTTCCATATTCTCTAGTTTGTTTCTCTACCTAGGGGTGGAGAAAAATGGAATTGTTCATGATAATATTTTTTGGTTCTTCAAAGTGGCAATTTAGACAGCACTAAACCACATGGGTGAACTGGCTAAATCGAAACAACTTGTAAAACGCCTAAAATGAAAGAAACGAAAAAGAATGGAGCAAGTATTCACTTCTCAGATGTTTTTAAGGAATCACATGGCTATTATAGCTGCAAGATATTCAAACGAACTGGCAACTTGTCATTTAAAAAAAATAATATATACATTATTATATATATTATATATATATAAAGGGTTACTCCTGCCAAAAATCTACTTTTCAAGAGTTCAAACTTAGATATTGCTTGACGTTATTAGCAGGTTTGGCATACTGTTTCGGGAGAGAACCCTGAGCTCTGAGATAATTGAGCCTTGGGCTCCCGCCTGGTCAATAAGCACATAAGGTGGTTTGAGATCAGGTAGGTCTTGAGAGCTCATCCTGGTAAAATGAGGAAATGTTGTGGAAGGGGGATTCTTTCAAAACAAAGATAAGGCAGTAATCTGTATATTTACTAGGGTTGGATGAATCTGATTAGATTATTACTGATTACAGATGAGAGACCAGCCGTGATCAATCATATCACATGCTCCTCTCAAAATTAGTTTGAAAAACTTTGTCATTAACTCTCCATTCACTCGTACTAAACTTCTAGTTGTTTCTTTATTTAACAGCATGCTCTTGAAAACCAGTAGCCATTGGCATACATTATTATTATTATTATTAAAAAAAATTTACTAAGGATGACAATGACTACTGGTTTGTAATAATCCTCTAATAACCATCTATTTTTGTGATCAACATGGGAAAAATTGTGTTTGTTTTAAATTTGAAGTTTAGTAACCACCTGAGAGTGAATGAATTTTTAACTTAACCTCTTAAAGTCAAGTGCTATTATGGGGTTTCCGTCTAGATTTTGCCTACCCAAATTAAAAAAAAAGCTTTCCAAATCCACATGCAGAAGTATAAATGCAAAAGTTTGGTACCATTTTAAAGAAAACCCTTTAAATTTCTGTAAAACAAT